AATTCTCGATAAATCGCAGATTTGTCAAGTCTAGTTTGTAGCGTATTACGTCAATATAATACGCACCAATTTATCACCAACTACGACCATGTGCAAAATCATATTTCCGAAAGAATCTTGCTCGTCAGGATCCGCGCCGGAATCAAGCAGCAGGTTGTAGACGCTCTCGTTAGCGCAGCAGGCGGCCCAGGCGAGCGGGTACTCCCCCAGGTAGGCAAGGCCTTCGTAATCGGTATTTCTGGCGGGGTTCATCCTTTGCTGATCGCGCGGCAGGAAGAAGCTGCCGATGGCCCGCTGCGAGATAATCGCGCCCGCCTCGACCAGGTCCTGCACGAGCTCGTTGTTGTTGTAGGCGATCGCTAGGTGAAGCGCGCCCGCGCCGAGATACTCCTCGCCCTCGACGACGTCGATGGCCAGTCGCGGAAAGCACTTGAGCATTATGCGCGCTATTCTGGTGTGCATCCGCGTGTCGCATATGATGAGAACGTGCAACAGGGTCTCGCCGAGCGAGCCTCTGTACTGCATCTGCCAGCATGCCTCGTGATCGTTCCACTGCGCCAGCGGGTCGAACTGCGACAGCGAGGCCTCGATCGGCAGGACGACCTGCTCGAGGTCGCGGAATTTCCAACGTAGATACTCGGCGCGATTGATCGTCTGGCCCTTACCGTCCGCATACATCAGAATACCGAATTGCTCGCGGATCAGTTTCTCCACCTCCGGCTGGCCGCCCTGATTGTACGCCTCGATCAGCTCGCCGCCCTTCTTGTAGTTCGCCAGCCGATACAGTAAGCATTGGTCCTCGTTGCTCGCCTGACTGATCACGCGGTCGAGGATCGAGCCGGCGTTGACCTGGCTGCCGCGACCAACGCGGCACGAGCAAACACCACCCATTCAGACATATCCTTTCACTGTCGGTCGGGAAAACCACCCGAAAAGCCCGGCAGTGTCGCAGCCACTATCCACCACCACCGCTCGATTTTTCGTCAGCTCTTATCAACCGACGTCGCTCGAACGGAATCCCTCTCGAGTGTCTCCAGACGTTCTCAAGGTCGAGTAGCGCGCCATTTCCGTCGCGATAAAGCGAAAAACCACTTGGCCGTACGACTACTCCCGGCCGACTCCATTGATATAACACTCGAGATTCTCTTACCCCCGACGAGAGGGTGGCACAGGTGGAGTGAGCGAGAGGGGGAAGAAGAGAGAACGAGAGTGCTGGTATTCGCGCTATAGCAACCGACCGATCCATAAGCGGTACCTGGTGCAGACGGACACGACAGGGTCACCGCCGCCGCCGCCGCCGCCGCCGCCGCCGCCGCCGCGAAAATTGGACGCGTTTTTAGGGAAATAAATTTATCACAGGCGCGCGCCGCTGGAAGGCGAACACGGTGAAACGTCGATGATTTAGGGCGCGTCGTTCAACGGGCTAATTTTTGGGGCGCAATTTCGACTACCGATCCGGTTCTCGATCGCGGCAATTCGGAAAGAGCGGCGAAGACCGTGACTCGTACCGCTAACCCGCATGTCGATCGCTCGACCTTAGCACACTTTCCAGCGCCTGCATACACGCGCAAACGTTTCTCAAGACCGGTCGCAAGGACGAGCGCGCACGATCGCGCGAAAAATTAGGATATCTGAAACAAAGTGCCGGGATAAATATATCCAGAAAAAAAGTGCTACTGCGATTATCCGCTAGGACGAAAATTAGATTCGCCGCGGCGAAATGGAGTGTAACTAGATAAATGGATGATATTAACAACCCCGACGCGCTATATTCTGTTTTTTTTTTCCTTTATTAATTTAATCGGCGTAAAAATATTAATTGCATTTTTTCCGTCGTTTCGTATGCAGCCGCTCGCGCCGGGACCTGGTTTCGCGCTTCATTACGTCCATATTTACGACGGGAATGTTGAAATCAATTTCCCATCCCCCAAATACGAATAAAACAGTTACGCGCGACGTGCATCTCTGTTTGAAGTGCATTCGTATTTAACCGAAACGCAGCGAACATTCCATTCCCATCGAATTGGAACACTGTAATAATACGTGTATTGTTACGTTGCTGACGTCTAGAATTAGTATCGCGTCGATGCCGCGCAAAATAGCGAGCTATCGAGAGATCGCGGTGTCTCGGGCCTAAAACGATACAAACGCGCGCGCCATTGACACTCGGGCGGGAAGATTCGTTGTTTTTAAGAACGCAAATTCCCTTTTGTTCGTCCGCTCGCGAGAAATCGAGCGATCCCCGCACAGTGGATAACGAGGCACGACTTTCTATACGGCGTGCATTGCATCGCCGCGGACAAATCGCCGTTGTCCTCGTTCGGTGAATGGTATAGTCAATGTATTATACGGCACAGTCACGCCATTGTAAATTGATGCCTCGTCATCCTCCGGATAACTGCGAAAAAAAAAACACATATTTTCAATTCGACGTTTCACCGACAAGCGCCCCGCCGGATGGATCGAATCGACGTGTGTGGGGCAACAGTGAACGGATGCGGAACTGCAGATGGTATGTATTATAATCCGTCACACACGAATATCTCATTCATATGCAGAAGAAGTAAGTGCCTAAGTGGACACTTTGCGAGCGCATTTAACGCTCTCGCAATCGGAGAATCCGGGCGAGTGCCTGAAAAGCCTGAATGCGGTCGCAAAATTCTTGCGAAAGTTGAGTCAATCTTGGAGGATGAGCCGTTGTTCGCGCGCACTCAGGCGACGTACGATATTTGTCCGAAATAGTGAAATTAATCGCAATCGTCGAACTGGCACGCTATCGGAAACTTTAACGCTACAACAATGCAAATATTTTGCAGGGGACGATGCAAATAACCGTTTTTCTGATAATATTTTCGGTGCTTTTTATTATTATTTTATCTTTGGATAAACGTTACCGTTTATTCTTTGCTGCCGTTTTTATTCCAAACATTTGTTAGCCTAAAAATGATTCTTTTTTCCCCCCCATTATACCGGTGAAATGCACGTAACTGTTTCTGGATTAAAATATTTTCGAAAATATTGTTAAACCATGCGCTTTCATTCACCGGCCCTTTCAATTAATACATTGTTTATGCAATTCGATATGCAAACTCACTTTTTTTCCGTTCGTTGCGGAGCGACCGCAACAATACCGTGAGTTTGCCCAACGTGATAAACTTCCAAATTTACACAGGCGAGGTGGAATCTAGGGAAAGAGATAACGTTTGCTGGTATCTGACGCCGTAATATATACAATAAAATGTATTCCCGCAAACTGTCACGCGTTTGACAAACGCGAGAGACTCCGTAATATATTCAATATCTATATATATACAAATATGAACGAGGGGATTATCGTCAAATGTCGGTTTGAATTGACACGAAGTTACGGCCGCGTAATTCATTCGCGAGCCGCGTACACATTTGGATCGGACTGTTTGCCTCGTGTGAATTAAGAAAAAAAAAGTATTGGTTTCTTCCGTGACGCGACTGTCGTATGCAAATTTTTCACAAGAAACTTAGATCGCCGGCTGGATAAAGGAGGAAAAAAAAGAACCCGGAGAACGCGAGAGCCGCCGACGAGAACTATAATCTACTGGACGCGTCATCCTCGTTATCTGTGCATACATATACAGCGGCGGTAAATGCATTAATACACAAGTACGGACGAGGCAGTTACGATATTTCTGGCGCGAATGACTCAGACATCTGCGTCGCACGTCGATCTCACCGGTACCAGTCTTGGCGGGGACGCTTATTTGTCACTGATTCATTCACGCCAGGGCTACCTGCTCCTCCCCCCACCTCCCGTGTGCGCGGAAAAGCTAATACGGTTTTAAGAGGGCAAATATGACGAGAGATAAAATTATGAGGTTAACATCGTTCAAATGTGACTTGATGCGCGCACGTGTCGTCGTGTCGTCGCTTTCGTCGAGAGTACATTTCGTTCGGTCGATAATTCACAATTGTATTAATTCCGTTGCAAACACTTTTACACGCACACCCGTGTCTCGGAGTGTTGATATGCCTCGCGCGATCTTGTATTTCTTAATGATGATCCATTGTCGCATTACTTTCTGTACTTTTGCACGAGAATTGCACAGAACTTTTGTATACGATGCTAGTTACCCTTAATCGACTCGGTCCCGGGCTTTTCAAAGGGGAATTACTAAAGTTTAATCGCAAACCGCTTGCTCCTAACGAGCTAATGCGTTTGTCAAATTGCGGACATGTGGCAGATTGCGATGGAAAAATTCTCATTATTACCTTTTCAAAACCGGTGTCATTTTGCAAAAATGCGCCGGCGACCCAGTAGCACAGTGCACCGGCTAAACAACCAAATATTGGATCAATGTTTGGTCAACGCACTGTGCTACTAGGGCTGTGCGTAGCACAGCTTTGTGCGCACTGCTTTATGCGCGAAAAGAATAAGAATTTTTAAGTAGTAGTGTGTCGTACAGATATTTTATATACAGTACTGGCCAATAATATATTACCTTTCGATCTGGTGAGCATAACTAATTTTTAAGTGCTCGAATGAAAATTGGAAAATCACGATGTACTTTGTTAAATTGCATTACCTTTCGTGTACAAGATCTACCTGTTATCAGGTGTCTACTCCACAATTTTCAGCACATTCGGTGCACTTCGACGGAGGTTATGCTCAGAAAAGCCTAAAGGTGATATACTTTTGGCCGGTACTGTACTATGCGATGGAGGATTTTGCTCGCCTGATTTTTATGCGGCGAATTATAATTCTTAGAACTCTCCAAAACTGAGGTCGGACACTATCGCGCCGAGTAAGGCGTAGATATTTAACATTTAAGCAGCAACTTATTGACGTCAGTCAAGAAATCAAGAATTAAAATGAGTATGAAAACGACCATACTGGCACTTCTTTATTAAAATGGAAATTCACAACGTTTCGGCCAGTAATACCGGTTCTCTTCAGGAAACGAGCTTAAAAAGGTACCCGCAAATGTCTCAAGAACATAAAAAAACTACATGTAAACTGGAATAATATGAGGTCTTATGTCTCTGACTTTTGACATAATTTTTATATCTCTAACTTTGACGAATCTTGCAAGTTTTTATTTTTAAGCTTTTAATTGTACTTTATATATACATGTACATAAAACACCTTAATTTCAATCTCGACTATGTAAGACCTCATATTGTTCTAGTTTACATGTGGCTTTTTATGTTCTTCAGACATTTGTAAGTTCGTTACCTTGAAGAGAACCAGTTATTACTGGCCGAAACGTCGCGAATTTCTATTATACTAAAGAAGTGGCGGTAAGGTCGTTTCCACACTCAGCATATATGTATATTTATTTATCGCAATAAATTACGTGTTGCTATTGAAAATTCGCAGTCTTCTGGCTATTTCTGCGATAACAATTTACATTATATTTTATATTAAAACACTGGATCGACGACGCAACAAGACCAGCGGGCATTCTCATTTACATTTCGAAATCAAGGTGCAACCTCGAAGTAAAATAAAAGCACGTCGGCATATGCCCGGCGGTACAATCGAGATATCCGCACGGTATACCGGACGTAGCGAGCATAAACACTTTTTTAACCCGCCTGCAGAAATTCTTGCATTTGTCCAAACGACATGAAGAAGCGTGAATGATTAATGAAAATGTAGACAAGCATACAAAGATACGGGTTATAATTAGAACCTAAGTCAAAGTAGGGAAAAGGGCGAAGAAAAAAAAAGTTATAAAACTTGTTTTCCTTTTATCATGACACTCGTAATCTTATCTATTCCATAAAAAGTGCCGAAGGCTATATTTTAACGAGGACATGTGAATAAAGTGTAGCAGCGATATCTCCGTATCGCATTAACGACAATTGTCGTTACATTAAATCGCTGAAGATAATATTATAATGCAAGTTAATTAAATGTCCGACGGTAAAAACTGGAATTTACCATGGTTTTTCCCACCCCTGGATATTTTCCAGCCGACCCTGACATAAGTGGCCCTACGCGGTACTTTTCGGATAATCCGGGGAGAGCTATTGTCGCGTTAGTCCCTGGTAATCCATGCGTCTTTATAATTGAAACGCAGACAAACGTCGTTAATGCGACGCGGAAAACTCTCTATGGAGTTGGCTGCCCGAGAGTCCGCTCGATATAGGAAACTGAATGCGGAATTTAAATTATGCACGCTGCGTCTTCCGACGCGCCGTTAAATACATTTAGCCGATTGCTCTCGCGCGCTTTGCAGTGGCAAGAGTCCACGACGACGAGAGCAGTCGCCTTCGGCTTGCTCGTCGCCATTATACCGGCTCTTCCGCATCATAAATTATAGCGGCTGGTACGCTCGGGCCCGGAAGGATCGCAGGAAGCGGGCACGAAGCCGAAAACAACAGCGTGATCCACATTGCAATCGACCCGTGAAATGCATTTTCGCGAAATTACCAGCGGCCTGTGAATGAACACGGCGCGATGCGGCGCGCGACGCGACCGATCCGAAAATTCGTCCAAAATCCCGGCTACATCGGACATACGCAATTACTTTTAATCAAACTGTCTGTTGTTTGCAGGCCGCCGTGTGTCGGTGCGGTCACTGAACGCACGACTTAACGGCATTCGACCCGGGCCCACAGGTTCTCTCTCTCTCCCTCTCTGTATACCTCTCTCTTTTTCTCCCCTGTTATTAACCCATCGCACATTCGTCCGTTTGTGACTAATCGCGTCGGCGAACAATAGCTGACGCAGCTGTACCGTGAGCAAGGACTCATTTTGTTCCGATGACGCGGATGCAGACAGGCTGCGGTTAAAAACTTATTTCTTACCGCAGCTAAACGTAACGCGTTATGAAATGAAGACTGCTTTGAGAGTCGTTTCCCAAGAAATCTGAGTCGAAGGAAACAGAGTAATTGTATCAAATCGCTCGGCTGACCAAAGGTCTATTGCATTAATTCGCAGATAGATAATGTGTTTAAGATTCGATTACTCGAGTATAATTTTTTTTTTCGCGAAAGGAATTTCATGGAAATTACCTGACGCGTGGCGACTTGAAATTTCACCCCTGGGCTCTTAATTGAATTGATTAAATTATAATTACAATTCTATATAAATTCATTTTACCCAAGGCGACGATGCCGATGAATCCATTTGATACATTTATTGCAACCTTAGCTTCAACTTCCACTGCCAACTCGGCGTAAGACGATATCTTTTAGGTAGCGGCTATCACAGCGATACGTTACGAGCTGCGTTCGGCATTGTAAATCCGAGGCGTCGGAGTACTCTTTCGCATTCGAGTGAGCGAGAGGGGAGAATGAGATAGACAGGGAGGAGGAGCACTCCGACGCCTCGCGTTTGCAATGCCGAACGCAGCTACGGTAGTCAGAAATACCTAGGGCGATAATAGGCGCAAGGTTAAATTCATACGCGGTGGAGAGTCGGCAAAACGGACGTCGCATAATGCCACATTTATCTATTACAATGAATCGCCCGTGTCTATTTTTGCTACGATTTTGCGCGGAGCACGTACGAGTCGCGTGCATGGAAAATCTATGAAAGTAACGAAGCGGCGCGGGGGGGGGGGGGGGAGTGCGTGTTCGTAGCTTATACCTTACTAGCGAGATGATGAAAAAAAATATATATGAATTACACGATTCCAACTTATTCTTAGAAAACGACATGGTTGCATAAATATGCGGTCCCGACGTAACCGATCACAAGGTCCGATCGCATATAATAAGAGGGTGTTTCACCGCGCAATTATGCCGCTTTATCAACATGTCCCGGCGAAATTTATAGGCAGCTCTCGCGAGCACTGAAACGCCGCCGCGCTGCAAAGACATAATTTTTATCCCGAACACATTTCGCCCTTAATTGTTAACTTAATATCGAACGCAAACAGTCTCGAGTGCCCTCTCGGCGCAGGCCCTCGGCGTCTTATTTGCACTTCGAAAATGCACGCCATTTTAAAAGATTACAAACGACACGTCTGCGACTTCAGTCTGGCGGGAGGCCGCAATTTTGCGCGCCAGCAATTTACTTCGAGCGATCTGTTACGTCTTCGCGGTTGGAAAAGTAGTCTCGTGTCTCAGGGTTAAGCATCTCGTCAGGCGAGTCTCGTCTGGTTCCGAAGTTTCTCGGCGGTTCATGTAACAGACTTCTTACGCGAAAGCGCGCAAGCATGGCAAGCGGTACACCGATGCATGCGTAAGGCGGGCCCGCGTGTACACACAAGCTTGTTGTGAGACGCACGATAATTATCGTGTTCCGCTGCGCTAGTTCGCCCGCCACCGCCGCGCCGTGCGGTTTCTGCAATAATAATAATAACCCGCATACAATACACGGGCGCGCGAGAGCATGTACGACACACACGATCACGCACGCACACACTCGCGTACGCGTATCACCCTCGCTTGCGCCACGTGCGTACGATAAGGATCCTCCCGTGCGAGCCACCGCCTCCTCTGACCCGTTTTCATCAAGATTACAAAATTTCTCAACGTCTCTCAGCCTAAAATTGAAACTGTTACCCGCGTCGTTTATCTTGGCGTCGTTTCGCGGAAGGTCCCGTGAGTAACGCTTTTTTTCAAACTAATTGCAACCCGACGACAGACGCGATAACGCGCCTGTTTACTCCGGACAAGAGTATTACTCACGACCTATTATGCGCTTATTGTTAGCCCGACGCTCGCATAATTATCAAAGTGCGCGGAATTGTTCAGCGACTCGCGGAGTCGCTGTAAAAATGACTGGCACGATTGTTAGCGCACGTTGCACGCTGTACTTGCTCCGATAGCGACGTGGAATTATAGAGATTGCCGATACCGGGAAAAGCGGCGACGTGACTCGAAATCGCGCGCCGCGGCCACGTGACGCGCACCACGTGACGGCCGAGATCGGCGCTGATTGGCGCGGGCGCGATCGGGGGACCGCATATAGTCGCGGCGCGGGCAAAAGCCGCGGGGCAAAGCGTCGGTGTTTTCCACGAGCCGGTCTGGCAAGTAACCTTGATCCTTTCGCGAGTCGTCGTACGTGACAGCCGTCGTTCGGGTGGACCGTTTTAGTGTCGATCGAGGCATCGTCGAGGTAGCAGGCCGGTCCCTGACAGTTTCTCGAGTTCGCCGACGTTCCCTGTGTGGTGCGACAGGATGAAAACGTTCGTCCACGTTCTTCTCGTTGCGGCGTGCCTCGTCGCGTGCGCACGCGGCCTCCCAAGTGAGTGCGACACCTTTTTCACTACAATTTCCCCGTATCTTCCCTCTTGCGCGCGCGTCGCGAATAGACCGCGGGATACAGAGAGATCGAACTTCCGCGACGGGCTGTCGCGGAGATTCTCAAGTTTACGCGCCACGTCATCGACGTTCCAAGTGTAAACGTTATATAAAATTTCTGTTGACTTTTCAATGTTCCGAGTAAGCCCCGTGTCGATTGCGGCGGCCGTGATTATGTTCCTTAATTAAATTCTACTTCCAAGAGTTCTCGCGAGAAAATCAGTCTGTATTATTCTTCTTGGCGCCAAGTATTTTCTCGTTTAATAATCACTCAGTCAGTTGAATCTGAATTAAGACTACGGTTCACGATTGTAATTTAATTTCGTCGTAACGCAATTTTATAATTCACGATTAACTATTGGAATAAACAATCAACATAAGTAGTCATTTTCGCCGATGTGATGCTTTATGTAATAATATAATTACACTCCGATCTCTCTTAATTTGAAATTGTCGTTTAATTTAGTTTAGAACTGCCAATTTCGTAATCCTCTCAAGATAGTTCATCTATAACTATAAACCGGATTATTGAAGTCAGTTAATGGAATATTCCATTGTGCTATAATCGGCTCTTTCGATTCGAAAATGCGCAGCTATGCGACGAAATGCTATGTTAAATCAATAAAAGTTGATGTAGCAAAAACAGATTCGAATCTAATGTCGAACAGCGAATTAATACCGAGTATTTGCAATCGTACTTCATTAGTGGGTGAAATAAGAGAATATTTCAGTTTAAGTTACAGATTCAGACCGACGCAAACACATTTTGAAGCAAAGATAAAATACGCGCTCTATAATATATGGAACTAAATTAATGTATATACTCGTAATTTTAACGGTTTCACTAATAAATTATCGAATCTCTCGGAGGAAGGGGGAGACGGAATAGAAAAAAGTTGATTCAACTTTCACGCATTCCCTAATTACGATAATCGTAATAAAACGCAGTCTACGTGTCCGTCGGAGCGCCGACATTTATCTGATTCGTCGCGCGTTCAGCGACTCTCCCTCGGGGAATATTTTCGGTTCAGGACATTTATGCGTCGTTGTAAGGCGACACGGGTGCCCCCGACCGGCGAATATCGCGATTGAATGTCAGGTCACGAAGAAATCGTGGGGGGCAGATAGCACGCTCGAACTACTTAAGGCCGTTGTTTACTCGATTACAACTCGATATGAAATTCACTTCCAGCATAGACTTTGCTAATTAGCATCGGACCCGATTTTGCGAGACGGGAACGGCAGGAAGGTCGTTTAATTGGAGCTGCTTCGTCCCCAAGATAATTGTCCGAGCGAATTCCCGTCGAACTCCAATTTATTCCTCTTGATTTTAATGTAACTTTATCTCTCGGGCCGACGTTTGTGTGTCTCGACCGTCTTCAACCGTGCGGAAATCTTCACAAAAATAAGTCGACCTGGCTTTACCGGCAAATTGCGAATTACGATTTCGTCGCTAATTTATCAAGACTCTCCTCTGCCGGAGTTGAAAGTTCAATTACACTTTACGTTATTATATTTATAAAACGGTTTGACATATTAATTTGTAAATATAACATTTTCGAATTTAATAACTCTTCGAGTACCGAGTACGATATTCCTTTAAATAAATGACATTTAAATTATTTACGCGAGTGTTATTTGCTATTTACAAAATCGTAATATTTTTATATAATTTTTATATATGGTATTAATATTTATTTTAAATAACGTAACATTTTAACCTTTCATTTCGGCCTTTGTGCACTGCGCGTTTTCACGAAGGTGACCGTGTCCGTTTTCTCATCTGTTTAAAAATATCGTTTATGATTTTTACGTCGCGAGCAGCCCCGCGTCTAAAACAGATTAACGAGTTTGCATTCGAATAATTGTACATGCATAAATGCATGCCGCGATGTTGCGGAGAGCAACATTTGTAAAACAGTCTCGGAACTTTGTGCATATTCGTTGAAGCACCAAATGATACGAATATTTTAACCAGTGCCATCGCGACGCGCCACGCGTATTACGGGGGGGGGGAGGGGGTATACGCGGTTCTGAACAACTCGAGGCGGCTGAAACAACAATCAAAGCTCTCGGATTGTTAATTGTTATTGCAAAAGATACCGGAGAAGTACGACGGATAGTCGAGCCTCGGAGGTGAACTTTCGTAATTGCCGAGTCGTTAGCGGCCCGTTCGGCCGTGGCGGCGGCGCAGGCGGCGTACAATCATACAATTAAATTTTCTTTCGTCATGGGTGAACGTTGCGCGTCCATTATTACTTGGGTGAGGAGTATGACGCCTGCGGCGAGGTGTTTCTCCTAACGCGATGCACCTGCCAGCCTCCATGCCGCGGAATTTCGCCGTTACAGCGCGCGGCCTCCGCCAGGAGAGAACGTCTGCTCTCATTACGCTCGCTGACAGCCGGGTGACAGCCGGATAATAATGTAATTTTTGAGACTTCCTCGGGACGGCGACTTGCCAGCGAGCTACGAAAATCGAGTTTCGGCGAGTTTCGATCGCGGTGAAGCGCTCCGCTTCGTTCACCTCGCTCGCGCGAGGCCCCGGCCAGGTAGACAAGGCGCAGGCGGCGGTTTGGTGAGCGTCAAACAGCGCGAGTCCCCTGTCACCGCGGTGGTATAAGCAGATTGCGCTTAATCCCATTAAGAATGCATAATCGTCACTGCTGGGTAATCTCGCTGGCGGGTAATCGCGCTGCGCCTTCAAGACGAGAGCCTGCGTAATCATCCGCAATCGTAAATCTCTCTCGTGCAACAAACGTGACATTTAGCTCCACGGCTCCGCTCTGCGGTTCATTTGTGCGAGTAATTGTGCCTCGCACAAAAATCGATACGCGATAATGGTCGAATTTGCGAGCCGTTCCGTCGGGCATACGTGTGCAGGCGGAGTATAAAGGGAGATACGCATATTTACGCCCGCTGATGATCAATTGTGCCACCACTCGATTTGTGTATTAAACAATTGTATAAGCTGCCGCCGCGATTTACAGATGCCACCTATAATTTCATCAACCTCGGAACATAAAGTTACGTACGTTTGCTTTTTTTTTATATCCACCCCGGACAGTCGGTGCTCGACAATTTTGCTCAAAGTTTTCTATCAAAGTTAGCTCTCCGCAATGCCGGGGCATCGATGCGTATTTTATCTCGTTACGCCAGTCGCGGTTCTGTTAATAGATATTTTTTTGTTTCATTCAGTACGCTAGCGCGAGTCATCGTCGCGCATACATCGTACACGCGAGCAGACTCGCGTTCGCGTGAAATTGTGCCGCGCAAATCACTCGGTCCGCTCAGACGTCAATTACGGGCGGGGAAAAAAATCGTGACTAATTACTTCCTACACCTCGCCCCCCCGTTTGGGTACTACGAGCGTACTTGATTCAGCGTAGCATGCCTATTGCACAATCCGGTAATGTCATTCCTTCTTCCTATGTTCCGCATCGCGTTCGACGAGCCTCCCGTCGCCGGCCTCCCTTTCACCCGCCCGCATCACACGTGCAATCGCACCGGGTGCACGTGTATGTATTTCATCGCCCGCCCGCGCGGCCGCGGTACAATGCGGATGCGTGACGTACACGATAGCGCAGCACGATTGCATGGTCAAAGAGCAATAATGTACTCTCCGCTCGGATACTCTCCCGTGCCTCGGACTTTTGCCGTTAAGAAATTCCCTCCGTCATTCTCACAGTAGACAACGCGTGGTACAGTTATCGGTAAGAAATCGGTAATAAATCGGTTGCATTATCGGTAATAAAAATTGTACGTCCACAATTTAAATGTACATTTCGCTCGGAAATATTGAAAAAGTACGATGGAAGACCTTTCTATATCGGGTATTATTATTATCGCTCGCGCGACTCCACTGCGTGGAGTGTCCTTGCGTGTCGACGGCTTAGTTTGTTGTGCGCCTCCGTATCTGGAGGCGAAGTACCGCCGTGGATTATGACCAACTCATATTATTTTCCTGTCGCGAGCAGCCTGACCCCGTTGACGTAGTGTTGGGCTTGCCTTGAGTGGCAGTGGCACCGCAGAATATGCCTCCATTAAGTATGCAGCCTGCGTCCCACCGCCGCCTTACGGCCATTTAAATGAAAAAACGCAGTACGCGAACTTTTTGTCGGCGCATCTTGTCTTTCCCTTTCTTCTTTTTTTTTTTACTTCTCCCGACGTAGTCCTCAGGTCAATATCTCGACTGCGAGTCTGCGCAATTAAATACAATAGAGCAAAACCTATCTAGTAAACGCGTGATCCAGTTACGAGCGATAATCTGTAAAAAAAATAAAAGCGTAAGGAACTATATAGCGTTAAATCCACAGAATTACTCTTATCTGACAGTTTCATGTCAGACGTGTAGGTCAATAAAGTTATCTACAATATTTTCACTTCGTTTCGCCGTTACATAATTTAGTATACCTAAGCTCAATCAGTAATAAGAAATATTTTATGTTGTTTATCTTTTATACTTTTTGAATTTCGTGATGAACCGTACAGCTAAATGAAAGGAGTACCGTGCGATATTGAGATATAAATACGCGAGATTAATTTAATATGTTGTCAATAAATATAAATATGTATGTAACATTAATTGCATTATCGATCGTTTCGAAAAGATGTTGCGCGCACGTTGAAATTGTCAATCGAGTAGTTTTCCATGAAAAGTAAATTATTAGCCTTTGCACATACAATCTTTTTATTTGTGCAAAAGTCTTCTTCGGAGCAATTTGTTACGGGATATCGTGGGATACGGTATCTCCTAGGCACATGACGTAAGATGAAACGAGTATACATTTCAGGATTAAAGTAAAGCGCGTCCTTAGCTTCAACTCGTGCACAACTTTTGTCACGGCGATGCATTTTACCACGCGCATCGTGCAATTTGCGTAAGCAACATGCTGTTATAATAACATTTATTCAAGCGCACCATACATTGCCTCGTATAATCCTTAG